AGAACGCGTAGAGCTACTGTTTGTGAAGAAAATAATCAAATATCAGTACTAGCTGCAGTGCTCATAATCCACATGCGAGCGTTCGAAAAATTTCGCACCCATCAGGAATTCCTCGTATGAGTGTTTGGAGAATTATGAAGTTCCATAAATTTCATCCGTATCATGTGTCCTTGCATCAGGAATTAACTGGCGATGACTTTCAAAACAGACTAACGTTTTGTCAATGGGCAGTCGAGAGAATATAAATGAGCCCGAACTTTTTTGCTCGTGTGCTATTCTCTGATGAATCAAACTTTTACAAACTATAGTCAAGTTAACCGCCATAACATGCATTATTGGAGTGTAGAAAACCCACACTGGATTCGTAAAGTAAATCATCAGCGTCCTTGGTCGGTTAATGTTTGGTGTGGAATAATTGGTGATAAACTTGTCGGACCATATTTTATTGACGAATATCGAAATATTCTTGAAGTAGAACTACCAAAATTGCTCGAAGACTTAAGCTTACAAGTGCGACAAAACATGTGGTTTCAACATGATGGTTGTCCAGTACATTATTCGTTAGTAGCACGTGAGGTATTAGATCGGGATTACAATAATCGCTGGATCGGTAGAGGAGGAACTGGCCAGCCAGATCGTCAGACTTTACCTCCCCAGATTTTTTCTTGTAGGGTTACTTAAAAGATACCGTTTATAAGGAAACACCTACTACTCGCGAAAACATGATGCAACGAATAAGGGATGCTTGCGCCGCAATTATACCAGACATACTTGTGAAATGCGTACAGGCATTTGAAGCACGAATCAACAAATGCATTGAAGTTCAACGTCATCATTTTGAGCATTTAATTTAATTAAATGGTGGAAGGGGCTCACCTGAATCAAGCATCCCGATGGTGAAAGGCGAGGGGACTCACCTAAAACAAGCACCCCGATGGTGAGAGGCGAGGAGACTCACCTAAAACAAGCACCCCGAAGGAAACAGAAAGCTACTACGTCCTCGTCATTGTTCCTGGGTAACGCTAAAAGTAGTTTCTCGGAAAAATTCAACGCTATCTACTGCAACGATGAAAAAATTGTTTCCATAAAAACTTCACGTAAAATCTAATTCTGCAATGAAAAATGTGGGTCCTCATTTGAGATTTGAACGTTACCACCTACCCTACCCCGAGGGTATGGGGGGAATAACTGTTATTATGTTTTTTAAAAATATTTTTAAAAATATTGAACAGGTATTTTTTTATTTTTCAATCCAATGATCATTTCTGGAGAATTGCAGAAAATCTAATTTTTTACGATTACAGCGCCATCTATCACGAATAAAAAAGAAAGTTTCGAACGAAACTTACGTATTTTGTGGCGTAGAATCCGAATCTACAATAAAAGATGGGGGTTCCATTTAAGATTTCAAAGTTGCCCCCCACCCCCACCCCCCGGGAGTGGAGTGGGAGATCGAGTTTGATATCATTGGATGTCCCCCTTCGAGACGAACAAATTTCATTACCCACTTTTTTTTATCCGACATGTAGTTTTCCAGATATTACGATTTGTCAGGTTAAATGGGACAGCCTGTATATACACAAGAGCGTTACCTTTAAACAAAGATTATATTATTATCTTGCAACTTAAATCGTGTAAAAAGAAAGATAGGCTTTAACTATAAACTTAACTCCTATTCCGATTGTTGAAATATTGTTTTGAGATCTTTATACGTTACTTAAAGAACGCATCATCATTTTCTCGTTTTTCACATTATCAAGATCATAACATAATTCCAATGTACCCACATCGAAAACTTTCAAATGCTTACTATTGCTGGAATTATAACGAAACAATTTGAATAATTCATATGATAATATTGTGTCTCTAGAATTATTTAAAATGAAATGAAAATATAAAACGCGACTCTTTGCCCCTTCTTCTTGTCATTGGTTATTTATGGTATTTTCTAAAACATTATTGCAAATACATCTGCATTGCACGAAGTCTTCGGTATATAGACCTTGTGTATTGCATTGCAAACCCGAATGTGTTATTTTGACACGTTGTGACGTGGCAGCCGGGGAGGCGCCCGTCACAGTGCGACCCTCGGTCCTTACGCGAGGTTTGCGGGGGGGGGGGGGAAAGCATATCGCGCGAGAATTTCGGGGGGAAAGGAGCCGCCTTGCCCCCCGTATTAATTAATATTAGTGATAGGAGCGCGCAGGTGGAACGGTCCCGCGTCCCCGAGCTCTGTGCCCCTGGACCTCCTGTGCCTATCAAGACCGGAGGACCCAGAGGAAAGAAGAGGACGCCACCCATCGACCAGACCGCCACCTCAGGTGAATACGCCCCCTTCTAACTAATATTACCGATTCCCGTATCGCCTTAAAAGATTCTCGCTGCCGTTCCCGTGTCCACAGGCCCGCAGGAATATCCGGCGAAGCTGTCGTCGCTCCCGTGCTCGGAGCGTGATCGCCGACTAAACAAGGCCGGCCTAGGCGAAGAGACCGCGGGAGCGCGAGCGAGAAGGAGAACGCGCAAGAGTGAGACCGAGCCCCCGCGGATCGAAAACAAAGATCTGCGGAAAGATTCCCGGATTGGGAGATCCAACGAGGAACGGGGAGAGACGGGTAGCTCGACACAACAAAGAAGAACGACTAGACACTTCTTTTGGGAAATAATAAAAGAGCGAACTCCCGTTTCGCTTCTTCTTCTTATCTCTTCCTTCGTGAGTTGACTTCCGAGTACTGCGGAGTGATTATCGCCTAAGACAGAAGTGTCGTTTACCGTTAGCGAGAGAAAAAGGATACCGTTTACCGGGCGTGAAAGGAAGAGTTTGGTGGACCGCAGAAGTTTGGTGGAGTTCCACGCGCCCAGGGGGTTGCAGGGGGTAGCGGAATTGCGGAGGAGCGAGAAGAGGAAGGAGGTCGGAGGATCACGCCGCCGGGAGGTTCCCGAATTTGTAAGACCGTCCACCTGAGTTATTATTTCGGTGTCCCGTGTGTCCCGTGTCTCGACTCATTTGTCGGCGTAGAGCCAGGCTCGAATTCGCGAGAGCACACAGCGGAGTTTACCGTATCGAGGGGTCGGACCGTTCCGATTCCCGAAAGAATAAAAAATGAGATCAGCAAAACGCGCATTACTATTCTTATGTTTTCCCGACTGCGTCCCGGATTCCCGATCGAACCCTCCCGTCTACCGACTTAAAATACCGAGGGGCTACCGGTCCCGTCGAATTCGCGTGTCTCGGCCCTTTGGCGGTGTTCCGTTTCGTGTTGGTGATCGGTGCAGCCCGCTGCACCTGGAGCCCAACCACTTTTGGTGCGAGTGTGAACGGCCGAGACGCGTGGACCGACAGCCGTTTGCTGACGGCGAGCGAAAATCACGTCGCAACGTATAAGCTGAAGCTTTCTTCACGCGTTTCTTGTCGTCTGAAATCACATCATTTGATGCATTTCGATATCACTTAACGCGTTTAAACGAGTTAAATGACGTGATTTAAGACGACAAGATACGCGTAAAGAAAGCTTCAGCTTATACTACATGGGCTGAAAAGTCTTTGGCCTGACATATAGATGGCGTCACAAACTAAAAATCCTTATATTTCCTATAGAGTACCAACCTTAACTTAGATGCTGTAAAAATTTCATGATATTTCGTTGACTCGTGTACAAGTTATAGCTTTCGAAGTGACGTTACCTCTGAATTTATCTTTACCATGGAAAAAAGTGAATTTCGTGTTTTGATTAAACATTGCTTCCTGATGGGAAAAAACACTGTTGAAGCAAAGGCATGGCTTGATAAATGTTACGGCACATCTGCCCCACCGAATTCAACCATCAAATATTGGTTTGCTGAGTTTCGTCGTAACCGTACGAGCACAAATGATGCACCACGTTCAGGAAGGCCAAATGAGGCAGTTACTCCAGAAAACATCCAGAAAATCAGTGAAATCGTGTTGAATGACCGCAAAATGAAATTGAGTGAGCTAGCTAACATCATAGGCATCTCAAAGGAACGCGTTGGTCATATCATTCATGAATATTTACACATGAAAAAGCTTTGCGCGCGTTGGGTGCCGCGTTTTTTGACAATTGAGCAAAAAGCGGAACGTGTTCGACTTTCAAAGCAAAATCTGGCCCTGTTTAACCGCAATAAGAAGGAGTTTTTGCGTCGATTTGTCACAATGGATGAAACATGGATCCATCACTACATATCGCAGTCCAATCGGCAGTCAGCGGAGGGGTTATTGCCTGGTGAAAGCCATCCGAAGCGCCCGAAGACACAACAGTCAGCCGGCAAGGTTTTGGCCAGTATTTTTTGGGATGCGCATAACATAATATTCATTGATTATTTTGAACATGGTAAAACTATCAATAAAGAATATTACTGTACATTACTGGATTGATTGGACGACGAGGTCAAGGTCAAACGGCCACATTTGGCAAAGAAAAAAATTTTGTTTCACCAAGACAATGCTCCAGCTCACTCGGCTCGCAATACGACCGATAAATTAAAGAAATTGCGCTATGAATTGGTCCCGCATCCCCCGTATTCTCCAGACCTGGCCCCCAGCAACTATTTCCTTTTTCCCCGACTGAAGCAGTGGCTCGCTGATAAAAGATTTTACTCGAATGAGGAGGTCAAGTTGGAAACAAATGCCTATTTTGAGGGACTTGACACCGAGCACTATAAGACCGGCATCGAAATGTTAGCGGACCGTTACACTAAGTGTATTACTCTAAATGGAGATTATGTCGAGGAATAAAACACTTTTTTCATTAAAAAAATCGTTTTTTCATTGTTAAGCCAAAGACTTTTCAGCCCATGTAGTACACGTCAAAATAACACACTCGGGTTTGCAGTGTATACGTTGTTATTTGGTTACATGGAAGACTTTTATCCAAACTATACGAGTAAATTTGCGGGTATTGTATTAAAAGATATCTACAAATAATAGTTTGACAATCTTTTAATATTTATGTATAATATAAATACATGAAAAAAAGTCACATGGATAAAATCATGAATAAGATGAAAGTAAGATGGAAGTAAGATGGAACGTCACTAAATACTGTAATATATTTTCTATTATCAGAAATAACCGCGCTCCTTGCAAAATAATCGATGATATCAATTTAAAATACAGGACATAGCGCAAGCAGGAACTTATTTATCGTAATTGATAAACATCTCCCATGAAGACGACATCGTTTGCAATTTATTCCCGATTGCTGCAAATTGCTTTTGCCACCTCATTAACGATCCTACGTTTCAAGATAAAAGTGTCGGGTCTATCAGTGGAAGAAACGCAGCGTAATCCCCGAATTACGCAAGAGACATTTTGAGAATAAAAGTTAAAAAAAAAAATATGTAGAACTTGAATATCAATTGTAATTCTTAGTTATGAAAATAATTATATTTGGCCACCAAATTTTTCTTGCGACTTAAGGTCGAAGAGGATACGTCGCTCTATCCTTCAGAATCCTTCAGAACGTTGTATGCCGAGTAGGATATTTTGATGATCTGAAAAAATGGTCATTAAAACACCATGTAAATCGACAAACAAATGTTTGTGAACAAAATGTGTGTCCCTACGTTATTTCAAGTATATGCTCATCTCTTTGTTAACAATATTATAATGTAATCTCCATTAACCTTCATGAACGATTCGTTGGATAAGGCGATCATATAACCGCTGGTTATCCTGATGGATTTCTTGGAACGCGTGGCAATCAGCAAGAGAGATTTCATCAAGTCGACGGGAAACATCCCCCAGTCCATCTCGTAAACGGCGGTACCGACCTCAGTGCTCTGAGCATGTAGGAATAAGTGCCAAAGATTACAAGGCGAACTTGATGAATTCTAAACTAGAAGTGGGCGCGAGAAATACACTTCAACACAGGTATAATAACTTTGGGTTTGGAATTATTAATTTTGAAGTGTCCGACCTTGAGTGTTACTTCGTTACCGAACCAGCAATACAAATAGATCTGCATTAGCATGCAACCCAGATAAGATAAGCTCCACACAAATTCAAAGCTCAACAGATTCTTCGTGGACATCTTGTAGATACTCAGACAGAGCACCATCGAGCTCACGACGAACTGCACAAAGATCATCAGCGCAAACACCGCGTTTATACGTTCTGCGAGTCTACGTAAAATGTAAAATTATTCGTTTTACGCTCAAATAACTTTTTTCTCTTGATCTCACCTATATACATAGCGATGATGACGAACAAACTCGCGAATTATCCGTCGTTCTTGCGCCTTCGGATTTCCCTTTGTGGTGCAATTACGCCACTTTTGGGACTCTCTTCTCAATGTATCCGGCAACATACGAGCGCGATGGCAAAGTATGTCCAGCTGGGCGCAACTCTGTAGCATGAAACCGGAGATAAGTGTCTCGTGAGCGACGCTGGCGTTCGCGCAGACTATCAAACTGATGGTCTGGTACAGCACGGTGGCCCAGAAGACAGTCGTCGATGTGATATCGTAGGGCATCCAGTCAGACAGCGGTAGAGTGCGAGTGTTGGCGAAATACCGGAATTGAGCGACTGTAGCGAAAAAGACAGCCGACTCGTTCAATATCTCGCAGTAGATAGTGATCGTCCTGAGAAGATATTCTTGGTTCTACAAATTGGTAGTGGTATACGTTTAGAAAGCTCTGCAAAAAGGGTCGATTTTTTGCCCGTTTTTCGGTCCTCGATTTTGGAATCGAATTTTATGCCAAAAGATAGTTCATGATAAGATATTAATTACAGAAAAGTTTAACGTTGAGCATACGATTGGTTTCAAAGATGTAAAAGGTCAAAGTGGTCACTACCTACTAAGAAAGTATGACACTAATAACAGTAGTATAACTAGGCCGGTTCTAACCCAAATTGTAAAAATGTTTTTCAACATCCGCTTTTTATTAATTAAATATTTTAATTAATAACCCCCTCTTTATTAGTACTACCCTCATTATTGATACACCACCCCCCTTTATTAATACCTCCTCCTTCCTAGAATTTTATGATTCTATAGGCAAGATGGCGGCTGTGACGTCACGCATATGTCAGGGAAAAACGTGCCGGGATGATTGCTAGACTCGAACCCGGACCGTCACACGGTTATTACCCCATGCTCCAACCTCCTAGACCACCGTCGCCTGTTGCTAGTAGACGTCTAGTGAAAGTTCTTATAATATGTATGATGATATCACGCATACGTCAAAAGAAAAAAATAAGTCGAAACTAGGCCAGACTCGAACCCCGGACCCTTCGTTTATTGTACCATATTGAACGTCTCTCGAACATCTATCGAATGTCTATCGAACGTCTCTCGAACGTCTAATAAGCATCATACCGAAACTAAAGAACTGTATTTTTTTATCAAACACAATTATCATATAAAATCCTAAGAGGTGAAAAGGGATAAGCGTATTGGAAGAAACATCTGTACATTTGAAATAATATTTTATTAAGCGTCATACAATTCTCTCCAAGACCACCAATTGAAAATGTTTAGTACATTCTGTAAGGCACAATTTTTCATATGATTATTACATCGAAAAGTATTATTTAATTTTTGATTAGATTACGTTTATTATCGTCGCCGTCGTATGTGCAATCTAATAGTAATCTCTTCTCCTCGAAAATCGAGCGATTGTCCTTCTTGATCGATGACACGCATCGTTAAATCTGTAATGCTCTGTGCGATGATTGGAAGGTAAATGACATGTGCCGGCATTTCTGATATTTTATATCCTGGTGGCACCTTAAGCGAGAATTCATATATTGTATGTACACGCATACTGTTGCTATACGCACCACTGACAACGCTGCATTCTATACGAATGATATTAACGCTGATAATCTTAATTGGTGCGTCCGATTCGTACCATTCTTGCGGCTTTAATATATGACTCGATGAGAATCCTAAAAGCGAGCCAATGTTGTTTGGTTTGCTAAAATTTATTCTATAAGCACATTTTATTTCGCTCTTCATCGTATTATTATTGGCACGAATTATTATAAGATATTCATTCTCGTCATTTTTATATCGATTATTTTTTGAACGTACTGTTTTTTGAGAATGTGAAATTACACATTTTAAATATTCATATAAGGCACGCAATTCGTACGATCCTTCAAGAATCGTAATTTCTTCATCGTTAGCACCATAGTAAAATTTATTATTCGACGAATTTACGTTTGGTATCGTATTGTATGCTTCGAAATCCGTTAAACCGAGCTCGTAATCACCGTCGTTCAAATCTAGAGCGGAAAAGTAGCTCACCGTAAGCATGCTATTGTTGCCAGTCAACGTAAGCGTTAGCGATATGTTCGCAAACTGCTGAACGAATACTGACTGCTGTTAGTGGAATGTCATCATTTAAATCCATATCGATCTTCTACCGTTTGGAGAAACTGTAAGCACAATTGTCCGCAAATGCTCTGGCTGTAATGTTGATAAGACGTGCGATTGTACACAATTTTCACTACATCCCTCTCAAGATATCGAATCAATTCTTTGGGTGTCGAAGATTACCAAATTATCAAAATATACTGCGCGATTTCCCCTTTTCACATACGCCACTCAGTGAGTACCTGGTCCCTCTGTGTTGTCTAAATTTACAATACCACTCTCGTTTTGACGTACTCCATCTATCGGTAAGGATCACGCATGAAAATACCTCGAAAGAAAGATATACGCATACGCCTCGCTAGTCTTTTCAACTGTACGTTAGTCATTGCACCCATGGGTAATTTTAGACTCTCTTTGACGTTTTTTTTTCTGTAGCGCCTCGCCCACGTTTGTACGGAGCAAAATAGATTCCGCGATCTTCCATAGCGCGATGATGACATTTTAATTCTTCCAGTTGACGTTGCGCGGCTTTGCCATCATTCACCGTTTTTGCGACACCCGCCGCTCCATCGACTAGTGAACCGAGAACTCCCAGTAATGGTGGAACTTGTAAAATACCACACCGTTTTGCTATTGCAAGTGCTCGTTTTCGGATTGTTTCTTGGACGGCTTCTTTTCTTTATGCCCATGCCGATTTTCGTTTTGGCTTTCATGGCAGCCCAAACGACTGCAACAACAGCTCTCTCGCCTAGAGTTGAATATTTCGAAGTTATGCATTTCCGTGCTTTCACAGCGAAAATCTCATCCGCCACGTGCCGATCAGCGAGATTGTTGCTACGCGAATAGGCTATATCATACTCACGACACGCCGCGTCCAATGAATTAATGCCTTCATCGCCTCTGGCCAATCATTTTACCAAGCGAGTTCCAGGACCACAAAATTGATATTCGGGAATGTGTAGTTCGATAGGAAGCACATTTATCACGCGATTCAACAGACCGCTGCCGACTTTGACTTTTGTCGATGACATTCACTACAGTCCCTGATCAGCGGTGGCGGACCATCGATATGCGTTCGCTACTACGGACGATTGTAATGTTCCAAACACCGACGATACTACTGAACCTCTGGATAGACTCTTAAATATTCAGGGAGTCTGTCCCACAAATCGTCAATATACTTTGCAAATTCGCGTAACAGAACAATCTTCGGTATGTATTTCAACTGTTCGGAGGTTAGCTCTCAAATATCACGAATATCTGTTAGAAGAAGCAACATTTTCTAAACTGAGTGTTTTCAAGATCGACACGCCTATGTATACCATATAGTTCAATCGCAACGATCCGTTAACGAAATCAATTTTGCAACTCACGGGGAAACATGTGGTTCGTGAAGCAACCGATGTCGATACGTGTGACAAATTTCAACAATAGAACGCAATCAATGCTTGAGCAAGAGATGCGCAGGCATGGAAACATGCTTCCGAACACCATACCGCATCATATGCGGTCCCTCAAATTGTGGCAAGAAGAACGTTCTTATCAGCTTGTTGGAAAGTCGGCACGTCTATGTTTCGAGAATTTGTACGTGTACTCGAAATCGTTGCAACAACCTAAATATCGGTACTTGAAAAATTTGCTGACACTGATAGATGAAATTGGATACTTTACATTCTCCAATAACAGCAACGTGATTCCAACAACCGAAGCGCTTAAAAATTCCATTTTTATCTTTGATGACGTGGCTTGTGACAAGCAAGATACGATAAGAGAATATTTTGCCATTCGTCATTCGAACGTTAACTGTTTCTATCTCTGTCAAATGTATACAAAAATACCCAAGCATCTTATACGGGACAACACAAATCTTCTGATTCTCTTTAAACAGGATGGTACCAACTTGAAACATGTGTACAACGATCATGTGAACACTGACATGTCATATGAGGATTTCAGTGCATTGTGTTACAAATGTTGGCAGCATAAATATGGTTTCACAGTGATTGATAAGGACAGTTCAATGACCAACGGACAATACAGGAAAAGATTTAATGACTTTGCCATGCTGTGTGATGCACAATCGTCGTTGTAACCTCAATGTAGCCTCAATGTAACCTCAATGTGGTAACATCTTCGATGTCCACGAGGCAACCATATCAATGATGAATAGTAGTGTGAAGATCAAGGATCGTGAAAAAGTATCGAAAGAGATTGCGAAAACGAGCGAATCGATCCGCAAGAAGTATCGCGCTTTGAAAACCGGTAGAATGGTGGAAAATGCCGCATTGGAGAGGCACTTTAAACCTATTATTGAACCTCTCAAGCAAATCGGGAAGCAGTGCTAATGTGGAAAGTAACGTTGATGTTAAAACTGAGACACCATTGATGAGTACAAATGTCGAAACAAAGAGTGTAATATTAAAACCCGAAAAAAAAGATAAAGCGGAAGGCAAAACTTTCACCAGTCGCATTGACTCCACCAAAACGGAAACTATTAAACGATCCTCCGATAATTCCTACATCGACGGGAGCTCTACAATATGAGCAACTACATGGAATGTCACATGAATCTTCACCGATCGACAATCTACTCATTAATGATAATGATGAGAATGTTTACGAAACCCCCGATGAACCGTTAGTGACCTCCATTAGATGTTAGTTGCGAATGTTCAAAGGACAACAAACTTTACATGATCATTTTGGTCCGTTGGATCAAAAATATATGGGAGCTGTGCTAAGTAGTGAAAAAGATAACACCATAGATTATGTTTACGGCGTACGTCTTAGTAACGATGAAGCGATGCTCGGTGATAAACGTATCGATGTGGACAGAGACGATAATATAATCATAGATGAAACAGGATACATTGGAACATCAGGTCTTTACCAGCTAATATTCAAAAGAATCCCCGACGATTTCATCTACACCGAAGCTGATATGCAAAAATACAAAAGTTTACTATTGGCGACGAATATTCACAAACGCGGGTATCTCCCGCAAAATCCTATACTCGGTAACAAGGGACACAAATATAATCGCTCCCCTAGTATCACATGTGTCGAGCAATAAAGTTGCAGGAAAAGGTTTATACGCATCGCAAGCTATAACGACCTTAAATCTTTCATGGTGGATCTCCCTTCGGCGCGTTGCAAAAACGTGTCCAAGTGCCCGGGGGCAGCAAAAATATGGCGTCGACCCCGGGGCTTATTTCTATTGCACCGGATAAGGAGGGGCAACGGTGGAGGCCGGCATACATG